AAGTATGCTTTATTGACATAGAGGGAAGACAATTTTAAGCTTTCCATTTTATACTCATACGTATTTGAGCACTATCGTAATAACATCGAACTTATGTTACACAGTCTCAATACTTACAGACGAGCATTAACATGAATACTAAGAAAAGTAGGTAATAAAAATAACAATAAAAAACGTAGAAACTCATTACAGTTATAACAGTTGTAGGAAATCTTCTCTGTCCAATAAACAAAGCGAGATACGAAACATTCTCTACAATACATAAAAACAAGAAAAATACATTTCATTTGGAGCACAGTCTGTGAAAATAAGCAACTGCTTCAATTCAACGTATGCAACACTCAAGTCCATGCAATTTCCACTGAATAGGGTTACCATTCATCTTATTGTACGGACAACGACCTACATTGGGGCTTGAGAAATGTGGCTATTCTGAACTAGCCAGACCAATTGTGTGCTAGGGATCGAATTCAGAAGCTTGAATGATGACTATCATTTTTGCTCATGCTAGAAGGCTAGACGAGATCACCTAAAAGACATGGAGATTTAGTAGTTCGGTTATTGATATTTTATGAAAAGTCATTTAGTAACAGTAAATACGTGGCTGAGAAAAAGGCCACGTATGGATTGAATCGTTCACAAATATAAGCCTTAAAAGATTTTTAAACGAAACTTAGTTCGCGCAACCTTGACACATTGTATGAAACATCAAGACGGTAAATAACATATTTGTAACGTAACGATGTTAATGGGAAATCTCCAGTATTAAAAGTTATAGCACTAAGGTAGGATGACCAAAATATACCAGCGAAAATCTAAGACTCCGTGCAATAAGAGCAACTGATACAATTAACCAATTCCTACACGCAAAAATGGTTTCTGGACCTTAATCGGCTCATTCGCGACGACTGCCAAAGAGACAGGCGTAATAAACGTAGCTGAAGAAATAAACTGAGACACGACGACGCGATTACATTCATTCCTCCAACTGCATTTTTGCATCTTCAAAATCCACATTTTAATCAAATCTTAATACTCGCCAAGGAATATTATATCGTTAGAGTGAGCTCAGAGATATTCAGCACTCCTCTTATTTTGCCTCGTTGCGTCGAAGCAGAGACGGTAATATGCGCTTATTTTTAAGTCTATTACAAAAGCTGTGCTTGAAAATCTGCTTTAAGTTCTATATCGTAAAGCGCACTGGTTACATTATTATTAGTATCTTTTATAGCTAAAATTGTTGTTTTTATGCTTACTATTTATACTAAGGAGTGTTTGTAGGTATTTTTGTGTTGAGTTGCTTTAAAGATTTGGTAGGAATTGGGTATAGTTTGAAATTTATTAGTAGAGAAATTTTGTTTGACCAGTTATACTCTCCAAATAATACGTTTAGTGATGCTTCATGTTAACAGTGTACATATATATACATGAAGACATTTTTATTCTGTATAATGAACTAGCCCTCTAGGACCGTCACCAGAGCTATCGTCAATAACGTTTCTAGTTTTTCTTTTTTATCTTCGGTTTTCAAGCTCGAATCAAAACAAAAAACGAATAGATCCTCATTGAAGATCGTCAATAAATCTGAGTCAGTATTTAATATAACTGTCTTTAGATATCGAGGGCAGTGTTTCTTTTATTTCTTATCCGTTTGTTCCGGTACAGCACAAAGACTAATGAAGAGATATTAATAAGGTTCTCTTTGTGAGTAAACAACTTGAAAAACAAAGGAATAAAGAAAAAATCGTAAATGAAGAGGCTAGTGAGCTTCGTCTTCATTTTGATGTTTTTTTATTTCATTATTGTTTTTTGTTATATTTTCATCTTGTAAACATTTTCGAATCTAGGTTTTTCTTGTTTATACAGCGAATTAACTTCTTTTGACAACAAAATTAGTCTTTTCATAACAATCCCTTATTATTAGTCTGAATGGAAATCTTTTACTAAAAGAGGCTAGCTAGCATTTTTTTACATTAAATGTAAACAATAAACTGGTTGCTGGTATAGAGTGTTTAGACAGACATGAATTTGAGTTTTAATGGAGAAATAAATGACAAAATGTGATGCTTGTTAGGATTACTCATTCAGTCCTTGGTTCAGTTTAAATCAATATAACAGTCTATTCCATAAAGTGTATGTTACTAAAGCATCCATCCAACCATCGCAACCATCTTTAATAAAACAGAACCTTATACAAAACTCATCAATCAGTTACACAAACATTCTAATTAAATTACAAACGAAATTTCAATGAAAGTAAGTAATAAATAAAACGAACACCCTCGCCCCATATCTAAGCTGAACACATTCAACAAAAAATAACACGACATATCCAACGCATTTACCGAAAGAAAAAATAAACGTACAAATCTCTGTAAGTGACATTTTTACATCCATACATTTTACTCTCATTTCGCATTGTGCTGAGATGCTTCTAGCGAAGGCAGCATAGAAATGGTTATTCCTTAACAAAACGTGAATGTAATTTAGTTTTTAAAAGCGTCTCTTGCAGAAGAGCTCTGGCATTTCTTAATTTTATAGTTATATGCTAGAGTTTGTGAGAAAACTCTTGAAGACGATGTTCTGTTTTTGAAAACGGGTATTTTCTAATTAAGGTGCCATGCAATCTGTTGAATGGATAAAGCTTTTAAGGAACAACGGTGGTATTCCGTTGATTTTCTTTACTGATTTACTTAGGATAATGTTTTTATAAAGACAAAGAGACTGGCTAGATAATTTACTTTCGAAGGCGTCAAGCGTTTACAGATAGTGCTGTGCCAAAATTCTTATTTCTTTTATCTTGAAGTGATCAAGTTTTTTTACTTACCGTATAACTCTTTAAGATTATCCGTGTGTTGTCGTTGTTTTATCTTTAGTATGACTGTTGATATTATATTAATTTCAAGTTGAGTGTGGAAGAGTGATGCTTTGGCAAGAAATGTCAGGCTCGATCATTTTTTTACAGTATCAGTGAGGTTGTCAGACGCCCTATTCTTCACCTCCCACCATTTCATTCACAAACCCCAAATTCATTCAATCCAAAGATTGGGCCTTTACTAGCGTAAAACATAAAAAATCAGCAATGTACTGGTGACTTCTCTGAGGTCTATGGGCGACGCAAATAAAGTGACATCAGGTGATCCATTCTCTAAAAATTGTAAATATAAATACTTACATGTTGAAGATAAATTGAATACGTTATAAGTGCACTTACTTCTAAACGACAGGCTGTGTAATATTTTTATTTAAGTTGACAGATTCAACAAAGGCTTTTGACAATGTTGAGCATTTGTAAAATATTCACACGATTGCGCTGGGATTCAAACGTAAATGGTTGGTATGTGTTTCTATTATACTTATACATTAGGAAATGTCCTGTCTGCATAAAAGATGGCAGTGGAAAAGCAATTTGAGTGTAACGTTGGGAACGAGAAAAAGTGAAAAGGAACTTTAAAATCTTTTAGTTTGTTGTATATTATTGTTTGGTAGTTTCTCTAACAACCATTTTAGCTGGGTTATAAACATTGATAATGTGTAATTTTGTAGTTTATTGTTCGTATTGTTGAGCTTGTACCTGCTTATTGTTCATAAGATTTAAACATTATCATTACCTTAAGATTTCAACGTTGGCGAGCAAAGGTTGCTACGACGATTGGGAAATTTAAAACACTGCCTCATGCTTCCTCAATATGTCGATGTTATCACTTTTTCGTATAACAGTAGTTATTAAATAATTTCTCATATTGATACTTGCCACGTCCCAACCTGACGCTTAGTCTTAATTACTGAAACACTAAGACTGAACGTTAATGCCAAATCGCCTTCTTTATTTAAACCAATATTCTAAACGTGACAAAGATAAAATTTCAACACTATGGAACCAAAAGTGTGATGCTATGCCAGTTTTATCTTCTGTAGCAACTTCCTATTAGAATAAATACGTCTTCAAAAGGCTATTATTAAGAATTACCACTCCGGCCACAATGTTCCACAAGAGACATCCCTAATCGACTGTTTTCACACAATTGAAACTATCGCCGGCTCTGTCGTGAGCTTCAAGACTTTCCACCGCGTTCCAACTTTACATTTTATTTCCATTTCGACAAGGGAATTTGAGAAAAATATTCTGGTTTTTACCATGAAGGTTGTGTTTATTATGTCAGTTGAATTTTTTTGTGAACATTTTAGTATTCTCTACTCAATTTGCATTGAATGAGCTTGAGACGGTTTAGTTACTAAGTTATATAACGTAATATTTGTTTTTAGAACTCCATTATCAAACGCATATATAAATAAAATAGTTTAACAAAGTTAACCGATTTTCTACTCAAAATGTCTTTCGAACCGTAAACCCTTAAAAAATCAAAACAAAAAACAATTATTAAAATTATTTTTTACAATAACACACTTAAACGAATTGGAATAGGAAAAACGTTCGAGATGTAAACAAAACTCTTGATTTCAATACACCGTATTCGCATCATCGGAAAGTTTTCCTATAAAGGCGGTGTACACGTGTATAAACTATTTGTGCTGGCGAAAATTGAAGCGTGTCTACACCGAGAGAGATTTCCCTCGTGAGTAGTTACTTCACTTTAAAACGTTGACGATGCTTCGTTGTTTGACGTTCGAGATTCTGATGGACAAACAAGGTTAAGTGCTCCAACAAATTAGGAACGTGAAAACGTTATTCTTGTACTTTATGTTGATAGGGATTGAGATTATTTTTAAAAGGCACAAGAGGTATTTTTGAAGATTTTGTGCTTTTTAATATTACAAGGATTTGAATCGATGATCGATCGACGATCCATATCGTAGTACTAAAGCTAAAGCTTTGTTTTGGGAGAGGAAAAAAGAATAAAATAAAATAAATAATAAATAATAAAATACAACACTCAAATAGATTTGCAACTTTATGACAAGACAATCAAATCTTAAAATCTCTTTGACGGCAATTAGTTGGAACATCGGTCATCACTAAATGAGGGATTTTTTTTCAGGCCTACTATTCCACAGAGCGGTGCTGATGTCAGGGTCAGGCCTGAGTCCCTGGTCACTCGTCGCTGATCCAAACAAGTATGCAGCTATTGTCGCTCAACATGCAAACTGTTTACCCGGTAAGTGCTTCTTATATCGGTTATTAAACTAAATGCTAGACCAGCCACTATACTTAGATCCGTTAGGTATTATAGGACTATAATGTAACGCCATTTAATATAAACGATTATTTTTATTCATTTAACTTTATGCACGTAGTACTTACGTGCGATTAATGCCAATAAGCATTCTCAATAGCCTACCTCTGAGTGATGCAGTGAGAATAATATGGCCAGTCCAATAAAAAACAAGAACTATTGATTTTAAAATAAAGCATTGAATAATGTAGAAATGTAAATAAACAAATAATTATTGACACGTAAAGAACATTTTTGGTTCACTCAAAGGACAACAGAATAAATTGTCAAGCATCCAGTTCCCAGTAAGTCAGATCAAAGTATCATAACCACAGTACTATCTTAATTGAACTAGAACATTTTAGACCTGTGTACGCAGTACGGTAACTTGCTGTTAAGTGAACTGCCAGAATATTGGGGCATCAAGCTTGGCACGAGTCCAATAAAACGCACGTGGTGCATCTGAATAGGCGACACACTTCATGTTACCGCCTTTGTAACGTCTGATAGTCATCCTAAAGTGAGAGCTGATATCAGGTATACCGTTTGACGCTTTAAACGAATATGTGGTTTATATTAATGGATATACGGTTTATAATCCGTAGCATGGATCATTTAGTTGGATTGTTTACATCATATTGTATGGTATATATCTATACTAATATTATAAAGAGGAAGAGGCATTTGTCAGTTAGTAATTATGTAGGGGGTAATCTTTGGAACAGCTGGTCGGATTTCCAAAATTCTCTCACTAATACATAGCTACGATGTTCTTTAGTTGTATTGTAGTACTTTAGGCTAGAACTATACTTTATGATTTGCGTATTTTAGTCGAGCTAGTGTTTTAAACACTGCTGTGCTTGAAATCCCAGGATACATTACTTTTATACGCTTGCAAAACCGAGGGCGGTAGCTAGTCTATACTAATATTATAAAGAGCTAAAATTTTTAAGTTTGTATGTAGGGAGTAATCTTTGGAACCACTGGTCGGATTTCAAAATTCTTTCACTTATAGATAGCTACAATATTCCTGAGTGCTATAGGTTATAAAACATCATGCTACGATTAAATGGAGCCGAGCAGCGGGTGAAACCGCGCGAGAGCAGCTAGTAATAAATAATTCTATTCACATAGCATTAAAATTAGCGACTGACGGTATAAATTAACTAACACCCGGTCTATTGTGCCGCTGTTCAGTATTTGGACACTAGTCTCTAGTTGTCACTTGATTGTCAGTGTTCACGTCAGTGTCGGGACTAAACGGTGGACACACACAGCTCTTAATACCACTACTAACTCGATTGTAGCGCGATTCTGTTCAACGTTTGACGCAGTTGCAATTTTATTGCACTCGGTGTATGTTAAACTATTTTCACGTACCTCATGTTTATTTTGTTGTAGAAAGTAGGAATGATGACTTGTTTGTAAAGACTAGAACTGAAAAACTATGATATATGGTTTTTGGTAATATATTGATTTAAAATTTCATATGAGGTCATGATTAACTACACATTTTTGAACGGTTTTATTTATTGAGAGGTAACACGGCGACTAAGCAAGCTTCCAAAATATTAGTATAGACCTACAAACAAGTGTGGGAGAGCCAAGCTTCGGCACGAATGGTTCGGCTCGACCGGAGTGATACCACGGCTTCACAGAGAACTGGCGTAAAACAATCACAGCACTGTGTTTCGCCGTATGAGTTAGGTTACTGGAGGCCCAATTCCTCCCCCTCCCTCCCTCCCTTCCCAATCCTTACCTAACCTTACCTTTGCTTTATCCTACACCTTTATCCCTAAAAGGCCGGCAACGCACTCGACAACAACTACTTTGATGTTGCGGGTGTCCATAGGCGGCGCTGATTGCTTACCATTAGGTAATCCGTCTGCTCGTTTGCCGACCGAATGCCGAATGCCGAATTAAAAAAAAAACACACACACTTTGATTGTTTGTTGCAAATTATGTCATCTCTCAAATCGTCTAACATATTATATTACTACGTACCAATCTTACCAATTTAAAGCACAACACTAAATAGTAGAAATTCGCATTTTATGACTAGGTACGACAAGTTTTAATAATAATCCAAACAACTTCAACAAAGATGTCATATAGAAAACTCAAATTGTCTTTTAAAATACATCCAACTTTATTACAAAACAATAAAGTTTGAAATAGAACCCCTCTTGTAAAACATAATAGACGTTATACAGTATGATATATTAGAAGCTGTAGGTACATTAGATAATGACTAACAGAATAACATTGTCCCCAGAACTAACGCCGCCATTGTTGCTCCGGTGTTTGCGCGAGCGTCCGCTAGAGGCACTGCTGTCTGCGCCAGTACAAGCTCCCGACTTTGCCTATGCCTTCGGGCCTAGTGTCGACGGTGTTGTTATAGGTACAGTATACTATGAATATATTATATACATAAGCTTTCTGATTACCAAGACTAGTTATACTTGTTTATATTTGGCTGGTAGACTGAACTTTGAAGGTACAAAGACTAATATCGAGAATTAAATGATGAGGTTGGTGCTAGTTTTTCCTGCTACGCTTAGTCTGATCACAAGACGAGATTCAAGATTTTGAATTTCTCAGTCATAGCTATTATTAAGTTATCTGTACATAAATCACTTACAAATACAACCTAATAAAAGTACAATATTATTTGGCGTTTTCCGTTTTTCCAATGTCCAGTCTCAAGAGTTCGCTTCCAACTACAGACTCTCTTTATCGTCTTTCATAAAAAAAATAGTCAAGCAATGACTTGCTTTCATTTCATCCTCAATAACTTCACATAAAATATTTGTGTCAACATAAATAAATGTTATAGTATTGACAAGTAATTTGAAAAGAAAAACTCATTTCCAAATACATTTCCCAATAAAATATACAAAGACGTCTACAGCAGAATCGCCATTTTTATTACATCAATCGTAAGCCTTCAATAAACTTGTAACAACGCCATTATTGTATAAGCAAGAAATACTATTCTAGATTGGAGTACGAAGAAGAAAAAATAAATATACACTACAGAGGTCACAAACAAGTGTAACTAAGATAAATGGCAAAATTGAGCATTCGGTTTTTGGATTCAAAGGAATATTTACAAAGCGAACTTGACCGTGTCCCAGTATGAATTAAAATTGTAACAATATTTTCTCTTGTTCGCCATTGAGTCAAACTTAATGTCCGAAAAACATTAACCATTATTATCTATCCTCTCGATATAAAATATAATAATCTAGTAGGTATCGTCTAATACAAAGAAACCAATATTAAAGACAAAAATGTGTGATATTTTCTACTAAAACACGGTAAGAATTTTCTTAATTCAATAAAGAAATAGTATGATTATTATTTCTTCGAAGGTATTAATTGGAAAGACAAAGAATAGCATTATTTAACGTCTCATATTTAAGGACTAATAATGTTATCTCATTTATGATGATAATAACGATCCCAGTGCTCGACAGAAAAGACTTATTGGATTAATTTGACATCCATTTTTGTTATAGGACCCTAACTAAATAAAAATCTTTGGTCTTTCTCAAGGTCCATTCCAGAATTACATTTTGGTTACGTCTCGTCTCAATTTGATTGGCTGGCGCCCAAATAGTTTGCCAATACATTTCGGCCTGATGGCAAAAAAGAAGAAAACTAATTACGGAAAAGGTCTTAGTTACCTCTGAATATCTTAAATTGTGGATACACATTTTGGGTTTTCAAAAGTTCACATTTACAGCTAGTCTCTTCATAGTTTATATCTTGTATTCTGATGTGTCTTCTTATTCCAATTCATAATTCTTTCCGTCAAATGCCACAGTCGTAGTTGCTTTGATCATTTTATTTTTCTTTTTCTTAATTACCACTGTTCTATTGTTCGTCTCAAGTCTGTGGACGGTGCTTTTACAAATCTTCTGAGAAACCAACATCTGCTAAGAACTGAGGAATTAAAGCGGAGATTTGTTGCAATTCATTTAGATGACCCGAGTGCTTCTGTAAATGCGCATTGCGATTTCCTTGGAGGAGAAATAAACAAAAGGTGGAGAGAGCAGGTATTTATTTCAACCGTTCAAAAGGTTCTTTAAGTGTACTTTTTAGACTGCTTCGTTGGTTGAACGGTGAACACTGCGATAAGCACGAACTTTCGGATTCCGTTTCAAAGTTGTTGTTGAGATTGTATTAACTCCATCGACATTTCCTAAGCTTTCTGTATTAATAATATTTTAGTATATACTTCTTATTAAGTTCGATAATTCCATTTATAATTAATATTGTTTAATTATTGTTTATTGAGAGCTCAGGCTTGATATTAGCATCGATCTAGTTGAAGTGCTTAGGAAAATATTAATAATCTCTTTAATGGGTTCTCTCAAGAACAGTTTTATCTGTTTGTTATTTACATATTTACTGTTATTATTCTCTAAGACCAGTTCTAAGTATTTATTAAACGCTCAACGGTTTAGACGTGAATTCCTTTCAACTATTAATTTTAGTAATTGCCTCATTGACGTAGCATTTGTACATGACTTTTAATCTTGTTAAATTAAGAACTATTATTTTATTAATTGTTAATAAGAATTAGAGTTTTGGGCTCCAAATGGCCACCTAATATATGAACATAATGGTATCAACTATCGTCTAGTCTCATATACCCTATGTTCTCCGGAGATTCTCATTATTAAGTGCGACTAGCCAAAGACTTCGACTACAGTTTGATTTAACTATTTACTTTACATCGACTGCAATGTTCAACTACTTCAGCCTTCTAAACTTTCAATTAAAACAGTAAACACTAGGACTTCATGAAGTGCAGCCACCATAACCCAAACACGAGACATAAATCCACAAAAGTTTCCGTGTTTTCGCATCGGCATTCTAGCGTCTCGTCCACCCGCTGTTATTAAATTGTCTCTGGGAACTTTTCTCATCTCGTGTTCCTGGAGCGTCAACGTTTTCTGTTTGCACACTTTGTTGAACGGGGATTTTTTTTCTTACGTTGATCTCCGTTCTTTGTGATGTCGGACAATTAATGGCAGTTTCTATCTCCTTTACTCTTTGTTATGACTCGGCTTTGATAATTTTAAGTTTGTTAAGTTTATTTGCCTTTGTGGCTTTTCTTAACTGTTGTGTAGTTTTAATATAATTTAAACTAGCAGGTTGTTTAGAGAAATTAGTTTATTTTTGCTTGATTGGCATTAGCTGGGCGATTAAGGTTTTTAACATCGTCGATTCTATTCATATGCAAAATATCGGGTTTAAATAACTGACAAAAAATCGTTTGTCATCCCTAAACATTTCATATCACACTTCGTAACGTACTATTTGTGACTACGGCGCCCCCTACTGGGTGTTCGGCCTCTTTCCCCGGCGACGAGATACGTTTACCAGCTTCAAACGAACGACATTAAAAACATTAAATACACAGGAAGATCAAGATAATAATAATCTTGATCTTCCTGTGTATAATACAAACTTGTCTCTATCTCAACAGACACCGGTGATCTGCTAGTGAACCCGGAGAATGGCTACGAGTGGGGAGGGCAGACGGTTGCGCATGCGCCACTCGGCAAACAAGCGCAGAACGCCATCAACATCATCAATGCTGTCCTCATGAGAAAGAGCGCTGTAGCGCAACTTACCAAGTATGCATTCTGTTTTAATGTAGTTTTAGTTTCAATCAAAACATAATATTCCTAATTCCACAAACCTTAGTTCAAAATTTTCAAGTTTATTAATATTTTTTTTATCTAGTATAATAAAATTAATTCATTGTTACTTTTCCTAGGTACGATCTGATGTTAGGAGTAACAAAAGCAGAAGCATATTTCGCCTTCAGCGGAGATGACGTCCAATACGGCATCGAGGCTGACAGGAGATCCAAGATCCTTAAGTCTTTCGTCAGGAACACCTATAGTTATCATCTGTCAGAGATTCTTGCTACAATCATCAACGAATATACTGACTGGGAAAGGCCTGTCCAACACCCAATAAATATCAGGTAAGGTGTTATTTTTGCTTTTTGTGAAGCTTTTTCTAGAGAGCACATTACATCACATCATCAGCCTAGTAATGCCCACTGCTGAGCAATGGCCTCTTCTCACACAATATTTGAAAATATGAAAGTCAAGTTTAAAAGTTATTAAATACCTAAATAATTAATGAAGTAATTGTCAAAAAAAGGTATTACATGAGGTATATATAGTAACTGTATAAAAGAAAAGAAACCATGTGATACTCGTAAGGCTCTTTTTCCCTTATGCAGTTGCTAATCTTATATTTACAAATATAAAATAAACTATACAATTATATATTACGTAGCTCCATTGTAACATAAAAGCAAGGGAAACAAAGACTTCACTTTGCATTTATATAATAGAGACAAATCAGATTATTCGCAAATAAAACCTTTTAAAAATAAACAAGAAAGTTATCTTTTGCATGCAGACAAGATAAAGTCTTTAGTTTCGTGGACAAAGTCAGATTTTGAGATTTCGTCTCGAAATTGCAAGCGAAGATAATAATCTTGAAAGTGCAGAGCTAAGTGTTGAACTGAACTAACCCCAGACTGTATTTAGAAATTGTTTTAAACTAAGCTTAGGTTTGGAGCTGTGTGTTTGAAGAAACTTAGCACCTAGCGTGCAGTGGAGGAAATGGGGACTTCGTTTTTGGTATTTATGACCTTGAGCGTTTCATTTATTTCATACTCGCTCCGGAGTTGACTTAGATTTTTGTTTTGTTAGCTTTTGAACAAAAGGTTATCTTCTGAATGTGTATATCTTCTGGATTGACTTGCAAAGAATGCTCATAGCATTAATCTAACAAAATATTTTGTATATTTGTGCAAGAAGTGTACTAATACAATAAATGTAACTTTCACGGTTGGACGTTAAACAATCAAGAGGTTCAGGATTATCAAAACTCCCTAGTCATTTCCGAATATACAGTCCCTGTGTTGTTTTCCCTCTCACGTCATCTGCAGGAAGAGTAGCTGAACAAATTTGACACTGCCGGCCCCACTCAGCCCAATCATACATAGTAGTAGCATTTCCATCAAGCAAGAACTCAGTATTGATTGCTTTAATTACCCTCGTTATGACCTCCTCCGATGACCGAAATAAAAGGAATGAAGCGCCCATTTTTCCTGTTTCGATCGAAAATTAATTAATATTATCACTATTACTATTTGCACCAATTCCATTGGGAATAATTAACAAGGTATTGGGCGGTAATTATAATTAATTGTTTAGTGACTACAGAGGATATTATTGTAATTGATTTGTGTCTTTGCTAATTTAATTAGCGTGTATGAAGTGTGTGTGCTATTCTATAGATTGTTATTTTATATGGGAAACGGCAGCAAACTAAAGTAAAGGTTACCTTATGATAAGCAATCAGCGCCACCCATGGAACTGGGACGCCGTCTCCTCCTTTTGTGAAGCAGTCATGCTCGCAAAGAGAGAGGCGGCCCGCGTGAGGGAGCAATCCTCCTCCTCACGCCCCAGCAGCCGCAACTGGCGACACTACGGGCGTCGGGGATCGAGGGACGATCTCCGGCCACCGTAAGTACGGGCCTGCGGTCGGCGAGTAAGGGCAGCTCGCCGCCCGACCAGAACCAGGCCCGAGCGTACGGCGCGTAGCGTTCCGCGCGCGCCTCAAAGAGCCAATAGACCACCACAGACGGGGCCCTAAAGGGCTGATGTTCAGCCGGGGTTGCGGGGTAAGCGCAATAAGGTACCGCGACCTCGGCACAGAGCAGGAGGGAACAGGGGGGTTTTTAGTCAGTAAGAGTCTGACACTCCCTCCTGCCCGGCCCTGGGCGGGAGAAGTCATTTGATGATTTTCCCCTCACCAAAAAAAAAAAAAAAGCGCCACCCACGGACACTAACAAAAGAGAAAAGTTTCAAATGCGTTGTAGGTATTTTTTGGCATAAGGGGTTTCGGAGATTTCAAGTTTGGACTTGATATCCTGGTGTTTGGCAGTATTGCCCATTGGACCCCATTAGAAATGAGGCTATCCTCAATGTTTATACATGAAGGGTATTGCATTCAACAAATTATGCATCACTATCAATTCTTCCACAGAATAAACAGAGGTGATACGCATGGGACTGAAAAGTTTGACCATAGGACATTTCAATACAAAATCTTGATGAGGACATTTTAACAATAATTTTATTGTTTGTTACCAGGGATGAAACTTTAGAAGCGCTCAGTGACGCTCAAGTAGTGGCTCCTATGGTTCTGACGGCGGATACACATTCAGCACTGCGCCGTAACTCCTACCTCTACGTGTTCGACTACCAGACGAAATATGGAGACTATCCTCAGGTGAGTACAAACCAAAAATACTTTGGAAAGTGTTTTTTTTTCAATATACATATACACATATATAACACGAGTTTTGTTCAGTTCTAATTATAACAAAAGCTATAGGCTGGTAAATGAACGTAGCACAGGACTGTCTTTGCTAAAAAAAAGAAAATATATAGTTCAAGAGGTTTAACTAATATCACAAATGTATGATTTCACATCGATACGTTTAGTAAAAATTCAATACAATTTGTGTTACAAAATTTAGACGTTCACCAAGCTAACAATTTGGCCTTGAACGGTTCACATTTAACGCTAACAAACGAAAACAGGGCACCAACTGAATTTATGAAATTATTCAATTTAGCGAAAGTTTTGCATTACTTAGTATCCAGTTTATTTAGTTTTTGAACTTGGAATAGATTAAGTTTCGGTATTAAATTTTGCTCGTTAAATCTCCTTCTTGAATATCATTATTCAAAACATTGCTCTCCTATATTCATATGTCAGAACATTTGAAATTGGAACAAACATTTGTGTAGGCCATGCAAATATTGGTACCAACGAACTCACGGCCCTGAACACTGAAGGTGTACGTGCCGCGGAAGCATTTAGGTCATCTATCTTTGAAAAATTGCAGCACCATATTGCTGGAACAAAATATTCAGCTTTAAATTTTATTTTACTACTGAAATCGGTAGAACATTGGTTTCCAAATAAAATGTAGATCCAAATTACTAAATTACATTACTCAGATATCATCAGATTGACGCGAAAATAAATTCATTGCATGCAAATCCCACAAATAATTTATTTAAATGTTGCCAAATAATTCCACGTAAATTGTTGTAAATTAACAGTTTTACCGCACAATTTGGACATCAATCCGCGATAACACCAGCTTGCTCTAATAATAGTTCACATTAACCTACTCATTAACACCGATACATCACACAACCAACATCAACCGCTTTCCGACAAACTGCTAACTATCCACATTTTGAGGAGCAATTACTATCTGACCATTTATTGTTGACACCCAAACGTAACAATTTTAGTGAAGCTGAAGGTCTATCTTGCTTGGTTAAGCTGGCGATGTTGCTGTTAATATGGAAGTGTGGAGTTACCTTGTTTGCAATATATGAGCTAACGAGGGCAATGAGGCGGCTTAAGGAACAATTTTGTGTATTGGGAATAGTGTTCTGAAGGTCTAACACAATAAAGGACAACTTACTAATGATACTTACCTTTTGCTATTCAATATTTGAAAGTAACTAAGCGAAATCTAGATACATTTTATGTAGGTCTGACTCTAAGTGATATTATACAATTTATGACTTGCCTCGATAACTTTTTTGATTAACATTCACACCACCACCAAATTTATCAACCATGACGGACGTTAAAAAATTGAAATTAAGTATGAATTTTATTTAAAGGATAATACACAGAGTTACCTCGTGTATCAGTTCCTTTCTTTCAATTGGCTTATGAAATTAAAAACGTGATTTGTCTACAGCGCCAAGGTTGTATCCACGGCGAAGAGTTGCCCTACGTATTTGGTGCTCCGCTAGTGGGCGGATTGGCCCACTTTGCAAGAAACTATACGAAAGCTGAAGTAGCCCTTTCAGAATCCGTTATGCTATATTGGGGCAATTTCGCTAAAACCGGGTAAGTGGAGTTTTTATAGAATTGATTTTGGGTCTGCCTTTATTGCCGAAAACTTTTCAAGATCTAAAATATTTTATGTCCGAACAATCTCGAATAAATAATTTTCAATGTACCGAAGCGTTCTGAATTGTTCCAAAGTCACTGGGACAAACTTTGAATAAAGGGTCTTTGAAGAAACGTTGACCCTTCGTAGTCAGTCCTTGATAAAAGATTCAATTTTCATTGTATTTTATTTAAGGTCCCTAAAATTAAAGTATGTAGCCATAAAACTAGATGAAACAATGTGTGAAAATCTTTTTACGCCTTTATCTAGACGGTTTTTTAATCTCATTTTATGATCTCATCTAGATTACATTTAAAATCTAGTTTTCTTTTTTATTACAGCTACATTAAAAAGTATCTTATATCAAAAGAATTTGTTTCTAATCCTACGAATTTAAGTATTGTGAACTTCGAAAGATCAGACATTATTTTTGTTTATCATACACGGTAACTGATGACAATAATACAATTCCAACGGTGTTGACAATATTGATTGTTAAGCATCTAATTCAATTGAAAAAAACCTAACCTAATAGACTGAATGAGATGACGATAATAGATGTGCCTAGAAACTTACGTAACTGACTTCTTATTTGTTTAGGAATCCTAACGAAGCGCAAGAGAGTGATCCTATCAGAGCTGGTAGACAAGAAAGAGTGAGAATGAAGAATATAGAATGGACTGCGTACGAAGCAGTACATAAGAAGTACTTGAACATTGACACCAAAGCTAAATTAAAGAACCACTACAGAGCTCACAGGTATGTCTTATTACAAAACGAAAAAAGTCTACGAATAATTTCCAAGCAGTTCCTGTAGTATTTTTTCCAAGAGTATGAATCGTATTTCAATTTCTTTGAGAATACGATATTACTTAAATTTATTCAAGCTTTTTCTTTTATAAAATCTTGTCGTGAACCTAATATAATTGATGTGCTATATTATTAAACAACATCGTTTTGCGACTAAAGGTTTTCCATAAATAGAATGTTGAGAGATATTATTTTGTTAACAGATTATCATTCTGGTTGAACTTAGTACCAGATTTGCACCGTCCTGGAGGTGAAGATGTACCTCCATCACATCATCAGCTTGAACATGAAGACACAGCTCTGCAACCTACGCTCAAAACATTCAGTCCACCATTCAAAAAGACTACAGATATTGTTATCACAGATACTGGTTTGGCAACTAAGATCCCGGTATTAGGTATCCTGAATATTACGTCTCCTTTGAACTTTAACATTATTGGAGTCAATATTCCTACACAGAGCACTGCCGCTACTGAAGTTCATAAAACGGACGCAACTACTGCGACCCCACCAGAGGATGGCTTCGCAGCATATTCTACTGCTCTTAGTGTAACTATAGCAATTGGATGCTCTTTGCTCATATTAAACGTTCTTATATTTGCGGGAGTGTACTACCAACGAGACAAGACTAGAATGAATGGACAGGACGGTCACACAAATGGAGCTCATTTAAAAAAACGAGTGGAAAATGGCCAGATGCCGAACAACATTTGTGGTGACTTAGAGGGGGCGTTGACTTACCAGACAAGTCTAAAGAATGACCCTGCTACAATTTTAAGCCATCATCATCATTCTCATCACCAGTTACCACCTCCTGAATTTGCAGATCTTCCTAGTAATAACGTCGCTGGTATGGCGACTTTGCCTCGTGCACCTCCTCCTCCAAAACTTGGAAAGAGTAATATAAATACACTAGCGAGTGGGCAGCTCCAAGAGAATCAGCCCCTGTTGTCTGCACATCAGATGCAGATGATCAACACGAGCACTTTGACGAAGAAGAACACGCAACTGAACGCGAAGTCGAATGTGACGATGGAGGAGTTGCGTGTGTGACGTCAGCGAGCATGACTGCAACGAGCCGGCAGTTGCAGCGACGTAGTTCATCATGACGAGATCGTGTGACTTGAGCCGGACCTTCTCAGGTGTGTTACAGATTATATATAGACATTTACTGTGCCACTTGAATCCAGAAGGTTATAAATTATTAAAGACTATTATCCTAAGGACAATGTGAACGAACTGAATCAGTGATTAAAACTCAAAGTGAGATATTTGAATAAGTGACGTTTGTGATTATCATATCTAAGACATTGGAGTGTAATATAGAGTGTTATTGGACGATTTATCGATGTATAAAATGTTTGTAAATAGCGAAATAATTGTACATAGTTCGCAGCTCAGCCGCATATCCATCCTAATTACAATTATGATAATCTCAAAAATAATGAACTTAAAGTAAAAGTAATAAAGATTAATCGTCGTTGTTACCGCTCGGTTGTTACAATTCTATGAATGCTGAGCAAGTTTCTTTTTAAAAGAAAAGACATTGTTTCTTAGACGTTACTGTCGGGCGATTTATGTTCTAGAATATCTGACGTTGTAATAAGCTTATTTTCCAACCATTTGAGACGGCATTTTATTGTATTTAAGTGCAGCTATTTACGTTAATACTTGCTATTAAGATGACTAAACACAATACTAAGATTATCGTCTAAAGCTCTACGATTGTAAAATGTATTTTGATTTTGTCGGAGCATCGCCGTTGGGTTTAAATGGGAGTCAGTGTATTTTATTAATAGTTCAAGCGGACAAATCTAAGAGAACAGAAGACCCTTTTGGAGGTCCTTTGATTCCAAATATAATTTTCCTTTGAACATCTCAAGTAATGAAATTTTGGCAATTTTCTTGTGATATTTTATAAAACTGTAACAGCCGATCGAACTTGGATTTAATATTGAATTTAAAAACTAGATACTTGAAGAATAAAGAGATACCAATTTAATCTTCGCCGAACGTTTTGTCGAAGTTAGAAGCAATAATGGTTCTTCGAAAAAGTCAGTTTTTAAGTGATTTTAGTTATTGATAGAAAAAAAAAAGTTTTGCTGAAGAAACAGGTGGTCGTTATCTGAAATCTTCTTTGTTTACTACTATTTGAGTTTCGTAATTTACTTTGCTGTTTTACTTGTTGAAGTTAGGCACGAACATTGAAGATAATGATTTCTTACTTTAGCATTTCGAATTATTTACATAATAATTATGTGCATATTTTCTGTGGAGTATTTTCTCCAACGTTTCTTCAGCAAACGAATTATTTTTAGTTTTCAACATAGATGGACCAATAGTGTTTGTAAATATGTAAATAAATTTAGGAGACGGTATAACAGGTTGTATGACATCCTTTCTGTTGAAATTCAAAACACGACTGATCCTCCTTTCTTTAATAAATAAAATGGAAACACGAAATTAAAATTGTGATTTGTTAATGAATTTATTGTTGTCAACCATTTTGTATTTTTTTATTTAGTTACGAGTGTCAGTTTTATTGTTTATATTAAAATTAAATGTCCTACTGTATGCAAAAGCACAAATTTCGTTGTTGAATAAAAAAACATAAGTGTATTTATAGATATCAATAAAGTCTGTACAAAGACTTCATTATAAAGTACTCACCGGAATACAGACTAAAAATTTTAATAAAATAATATCTGAAAAATATTTATTTGTTTCATTTTTTATGGGAAGATTACCAGAAACAATTAACAGAAATAGGAAATAAACCTTATTCTCAAAAATATAGAGTGCTGCTCACATTTTCCAATTTATGCGGTCAAGTGTGACTAAAATATACCATAGAGAATTTATATGTTAGTACTTCTCTTCTTTTTCTTAGCTTCTAGAACATTTAAAAAACATTATTTAATCCTTACTGTTTTTAAAAATATCATAGAGTCTCAAATACCTGAAAAAAAATTAGGTCAAATCCTTTCTCATTTAACTTAAGTTTTAAAATATTTAACATCACCCTTTCTGTCGAAGACACCGCGGAGGGCTAACAAAACGTGAAATAACAGTAAAAATGGACGTTTATTTTTTTAGTGTTAAGGTTTAAACGTGCACGGTGCTCCCGACACTTGAGACTGCTCCGAGCAAAATCCTTCTTATAACAAAGCTCTTTAATATAACAGGAAAATATTTAGTGGCGCTCCGTCTCAAGCTAAGTACAAGAAAAACGCGCTGAAGTTAAACGCAGATGAGAATGGAGGTAAAAACTTAATTGAATTGAAACCACTTTCACGGACGAAATCTCGCGTTGTTTTTGTTTTATGATTTGTAAGCAACGTTAAGTACTTTGGGTTCGGCCCTGAGATTAATAATGTTGAAGAGGTAATATTGAGTTCATATTTATGAGTACATATTTTTTGATTAAGGTGATAAAAGTACCAGATAAAAATTTCATCTTTAGGACAAGAGGAAACTGTAAGTATAGTTACAGATCGACAATGGTAACTATTATTCCAGAAACACAAAGACAATCCACCTCCTTTGAGAAATGATAAGGTTTGCTGGAATTCCCTCATTTGGCTTAAAGGCTTAGGTTTCAAAGAGCTCTATTACCTGATCTCTGTTTAATGTACAGCCGTTGTTTGAGTGTCAAGTTTCTGAAGTAGAGAGCTATATATCTCAAAAATAATAATGTTTTTTATATATATATAAGTTTTACTAACACCTATATAGAGAACGCTGTACCAATACCTGTTCCCATATAAATGAAATATTCGAGAGATAATCCCAGGTAAGGTCCGTGAGCGCGGGTCCTCGGACGGTGAGTAAGGGTAGCCCGAACAGAACCGCAGCCTCGGCTGTAAACAGGAGAAGGAACGTGGGAGTTTTTAGTCAGTAAGAGTCTGTCACTCTCTCCCACCCTACCCTGGGGTGAGAGATGTAATTTGAAGATTCTTCCCTCACAAAAAAAATGTTAATGAAAAATTTGACTTCAAAATTGTTTTACTTGTAACCAACACTTAAGCAACACGATTCAAGATAAATATCAGTTGCTTCTCATCAAGTCTCTGCAGTTAAGTTGATATTTTCTGTTTACCTTTAATTAAGATTAGATTCAACTTAGGTATTACTTTGCTTGGTGTGAAACTTTCTCAAAAGGTAAACGGTGGCGATCTAAATAAAGTATAAATTACTTAACGTTAAACGGGAGTTTGGTTTGCTAATCTTGTGATATTTCGTTTATTAATTTCGTTTAAATTATCTGCAAAACCGATACTGTTGATGAAGACGATGGAAGTGTGGGAAAGCCATGCTTCGGTGTGAATTGATTAGCTCGACTGGAGTGATACCGCGGTCGCACAGAAAACTGAAACAATCGCAGCGTTGTGTTTCGCTGTTTCAAACTACTTATAACAACGCCGTATATATATATAATAAGATAGAAAAGGAGAGCGTACATGAAACTACTGCTTTAATATTCAATAGACGATTCAGGAACAATTTTACAGATGTTTTGATAGGAAAACTATATACGTATGTCATACTCGCAATTCCAATTCCACGAGACAATTTTCCATAAACAATTAATTATATACTTACCTTCTTTGATCTAGAAAAGGTTACTTTTGTGTATCATTTTACCCGACTCTGATTAATATGATAATCGCGACACCCATTTTATTCGAACATTTATATGTAAAACAGTATTTTTAGCTTCACACGAGACAGTGGTTCAAAGGTAAAACTGTGCCACGCCTCTCCCCACCCGGATATTAAGTTCGCCCGACCGCCCCGGATTTGGCACGGGAGGGGAAATTTTAATTTCCACCGTTTGCGTATACGCGTGACGTTTTAACATACGGTTATCCGGGTCAACTCTAGTTATTGTGCTGAATTCGCATGGTAATTTGTCAATACTTGGTAGTTGCTTTGTGCCCTAGATTAAGAATTAAAAAAAAAAATTAATGAATGTTTTCCATTATCAAGCAAGTTTTACTGACATACATTCTAATACTAATAAAATATAACACAAACAAACCGACCAAAGTAACAGGCCACAGGTTTCGACAAGAGTAAAGTAAAAATAAGGATACAGGGTGTTTCTTGAATCAAAATTGCCCCCAACAAACGTGACAGCTCGCGGTAATTTTGCGTTACATTTCGTAAAACGTGCTCTCAACACGACGGCGCTCTCGCACCTGAGAGCCTTAATACCGCACCTGTCATCGCTAATGTCTTATTAGAAAGCTGGGCGCAACACTCTAAGGAATGTGCTGCATTGTCGACCTCCAGACCCTCCTCACATCTTTATCATACCCCATCTCATAGCGCTGTCAAACTTTATAGGGATCATCCCGTATCCACACATCCATCTATCCTTGTCTCTTTCACACAATACGAAAGAGAAAACAATAAAGATCCTTTCAAATCCTTCACCTCCAAAGCAAACATTCAAAACATTTCACTTGAAAACAATGGAAGCCATCAGAGGGCGATGTGGGCATCATTTATTCAGCCTAACACCCTCGCACGAGATGTTTCTTTGTCAGCACAACGGATCCGCAGAAAACATGCAAATATTCGAAGCGAAAAGCTTTCGACTTCACCCCTTTAATGGTTAAGCAAATACAAGTACGTTGACTTTAAGACTCGCTCCAAAAATAAAAAGTGTTTTCAACTCCCGACAAAGAAAGCGGAAGCCTCTCGAAGTCTTTTCTTAATGGAAAACTCTGGTGTATTTGAATACCAAGTCTAATTGGTCGAAAAGTTCGCGATGTTGGTTAGCAAAAAAACTGTATAACATTAAAACTTTTTCCTTGTGACGAAATTAAGTAAGAATATTGCCACAGTCGTGTTCCTGTTTCTTTTGTAGTGGAGCAAGAAGACGTTGTAGGTAACACTGTAGGTTATTTCAATAACTTTTTTAAAGACGCCTCGTTGAATTCACTGAATATTCACAGAATTATTTATTATGAAATTTGTCGTTATTACATAAGCTACAAAATGTTAACGCCATGTGGACAAGCTATATGATATTATCATGAGCATCG